GGCTGGAGGGAAATTTAAGAAAATAGGGGATGAACATGTATACTGCATTATAACAGATGAATGAGAGAACTAAAAGGCATATATGATTAATTATTGTCATGAAAAGAGTCTAGCATGAAAGCTGCATAGTGGAATGGACTGGGGGGATTGTATAACATTGAAAGTAGTTCTTTATTTTACTTTTCAAAGAGAAAATCTAACTGAGAGGAGGGGTGAGCAGAGAAGAAAGAGCGACAATGAATGAATGCAAATCCAATGTCTCTGTGAACTTTCATTCAAATTAATAAAATAATAAAAAGAATGAAACAGAAAATCAATTGGATGTTTTCAAGAAGTAATTGCTGAAGAACATATGTAAGATCTTCATATTACTATTTGGCCTCTAGACTTTTTTCAGAATTTATCTACATTTTTTTAAAAAACAGGAAAATACTTAGAGGTCCAAAACGTCAGAAAATATTAGCATGACAGTCTGCTCCTCCTTAGCTCATGTCCCCATATACAGACTAACATTTCCAAGTAAGTAAATAAGTTAATAAACCTACTTGTTTTTCTAAATTATGCCAAGCAAATACAATTTCAGATTATAGTAAATTGATAAATAAGTAGTTCTCTCCTCGAAGCGCCACTTCCATTCCAGAAGAATGACCTGGGCTTCACTAAACAGCTCTCACTTCACCGATAGTGTCAGAAAAGAGGCTACAGAAAATGAAAGTATTATCATGTGAACCATAATGCCAAGAAAACAAGCAAGATATTTTAGAAAAATGTGGATGAGTGCACAGTTAAAACGCTGAACTAAAATTGCTATAAGAACCTGGGAAACACGATAAAACCGGAAGAGTAGAAATCTTCTCTTTCACACGTCAAGTCTCTGCTCAACAACTTAAAGGCAGGTCCAAGGATGTCAACTTAAGTTATTCAGGCCTCCTCCCAGTACTGAACTTGATCTCCTTCGATGTATCATTATGGCTTCTGAGTTCACGTCTGGAGCAGGAACTTGCATTCGTTCCAAAACGAATTTCACGCTCAACTTGTTTTTTCTTAATTAAACTTCCTCTCACAGTCCCTAATACGTGTATTATTAAAACTCATTCGTCCCCTTCACGCTTGCCTGTCATTTTTTGGCTACATATTCATATACTGAAGTTCTCTGCTGCTATATATAGGAAGAAAATGAAGTAATAAATACGAGTACTTGAACGTTTTATGAGTGTCAGGATGAGAGTGTGTGTGCATGACCCATAAGGTTCCACACAAAAGAGGCCTTACTGTTACAGCTAACATGCTGACACATCTCTGATCTATAAAGTCGGCAGTAATGGCAGCAGTAAAGCCTTTTGCCACTGACTGGAACCTCTCTTACATGCAACGGAAACAGACACAGAAGAGATTATATTAACTGTTATAAAAAAATCATATAAAAATCCCCCAAGTTTAATGTCTAATAATCCCAAATGTCTTGAGTGATTTACTAGTTTGCTCTGACTTGTGTTAATGTTGAGAGTTGGAAGTTTTCCTCCTTGACACAAATGTGTTCCCAAAGAATCTGTGTGCACGTGAAAGTGTGTGTGTGCGTGTGTGTGTGTGAGAGAGAGAGAGAGAGAGAGACAGAGAGAGAGAGAGGGGAAGGGAGAATTGAAAGACTATCTTGAAAAGAGAAAGACAAATGACATTATTTTATAGCTTTATAGCAGTGTTTGACACCGTCCATGTGATGTCATCAATAACAAAACAAAAACGGTGACACTTGAGTCCTTCTTATCAAGAGCTGGGAATGTACCCAGCCTCAAAGTGGAGATGCTAGCCACCTGCCCAAAGTGCTTCTGCTTATCTTTTAGAAGTTGTTTAAAAATGTACCTTAGGTTCACCAAGAAAATTCACCATTTTGAAGTTTTATTTTTCTCTATTTCTTCCTAAAACAAGAAAGATAAGAGATCGGGTGTTGAGATTCCATGTGTTAAATTTCAACAGATCATTAGAAAAAGGATTGCCCTTTTCATTTTGCTTTCAATTAACGTGTGTGGAGCAATTTTCTTTTGGAAAAACCAATTACTGTAAAATAACATTTAACTATAGTCAAACATCTCAAATTTATAGAAGGAAGCCTCAAAAAAGGGTTAGGCTTCTCTGACGGATAGGCCAGTTAGAACACATGGCACGCTTTCGAGGGACAGGTGCAGCTGTGAAGCAAAGCGCCAGCAAATTCAACATCAATTTTTCCAAAGTGATAAGCTTTGGGAATGTAATGCTGTTTCTTGTTATTTACATTAGGAAATTTGCTACCTATTTTCAAGATAATTTAAGAATATCTATTCATTTACACAAACAACCATATTTTTTGTTATTCTGAAGTGAATATAGAGTGAACAATGCAACCATAGCCATCATACTTTCTATGATAATCATAACCAAAACCATGTGCTTGAATAAACACAGCAGACACATAGTTCATTTCTTAAGTAGACATTTCAGAGTGACGCACTCCTAGTGAGAAATGTTTATCTAACTGGTTATTTCTCTGTTCATTTACTAGCTGTGGTTTTAAAGGAGTTTGTGGTATGTTTAGTTACCGCACATATCGTCATCCCTATTGACACTCCAAAGTGGATAGACTATATATAATGTTTATCTGGAATTTGCAGAACTACTTTTAGACATAGAGATCCAATACCAAAGTTGATGTTACCCAAGAGTTGACCAAAATGTCACCTGCTCATATCTACCACCAAAAGACAATATAATGAAGGAGAAGAACTTTTCTTGACAAAAAAAGTAAATTCTTCAGCCATGGCAAAGGCACTTTCAGCTAAGTCTTCTGCTGTGGCACTAAGAGGCCTGACATGACCAAGTTCAATGACTTCAAACTGGCAAATCAACTTTGAAAAGGAGCACGATCAACGACTTCAAACCCTTCATCTTTTAAACCCTTCATTTTTTAAACAAACGTGCAAGTGTCTTGTACCGTTTAGGTGTTAACTTGTAAAAAAAAAAGCGCCATTAACAAAGATATTTTCTCCAAAAGTGGTAATTACCCTTGGTCATATTCTCTTCAATTCCTGACAGGGACACTTCAACCAAGCTAGCATTCACCTTTGACTTTTTGTTTGCTATTATTACTGAATATGTTATTAGCCAGCTGCTTTTTCATCTATTTAAACTTCAAAAAGATGGCATATATTGCTGGATTGTATGACTAGTAGCAGTGAGTAGGAAGTAACAATGTAGTTTTAGCCATGATGCATATAATACCCTTTCTTGTAGCTCTGGTCTGGTAGACTAGAAGCACGTGATGCAGCAGCGTGAATGAAGACAAGCCCAGCCTCTCAGCTAGTTCCTTAAGGATTAACGACTGGGCTTAGAGATATTATTTCTTGCCTCTTTTGTAATCTTTTTAAAAGCTCACATAAATTTTTCAGAAATAGGAAATGTCTATCCTTTGCTCCTTGGAATTCTTAAGATAAAGTTCTGTATTTCATTGTTTTATCTCATATACACTTACACACACATTGTGTGTGTCTATATATTTACATATATATGTATGTGTGTATATATATATATGAATATGGCATGTGTTTAGTACACACACACACACACACACACACACACACTTTGGTGACAATTCTCTTTTAATTGCTAGAATGTGTGAGGTTTTCTAAATTCCTAAAATAAGTCTCTGGACTATGACTGTGCTTCTGATTGACACTGAAGAGTTGCCATTCCATGAGTTCAATGCTTCAGTGCTAAAACCAAAAAGCTGCTTACAAACATCCCATAACCTTTATTCCCGAAAAAAAATTTGTTTTACTTAAAAATATATACTGCATAAAAAAATAGTATTTCATATTTTAAAAAGGATTTAGTTCCATTGTATTAAAAAAAATTGGTCTTAAATACCAAAAAAGGCCAACTGAAATAATGGTGCTGAGGTGTTGGAAGGAAAATGTGTGTGTTGAGGGGAACCTCTCCCTAACCCCTTAAACACAGGACGGTATTTACTGTATATAAACATCTGTATCTGTCTCTCAAAGAAATCTATGTAACGGTTCTTAAGCCCATGATGCCCCAAATCGGTTCAGAATAATATGCTTTTCTGGATTTCCAAGCAACTTTTAGTTTCTTAAGTCAATTAATATTCACTCATTTGAGTGATTTTCATTATAGCTGCTGAAACTGGGGGTAATTCTGCATGCAAAGATGAGCTCAACTTCAGAGCAAAATTTTTTTTTATATTTTCCCTTATTTCAGCTGCAAGAAAATGTCTGGGAAGGCGCGCGCCCCGGAAAGGCCAGGCGGCAGGCGCGAGGCAGCGAGAGCAGCGATGCCTCGGAAACGCAGCGGGCTCGGCGGCCACTCTCCGGCCTGGGCCCGGCTGCGAGCCTGCACTGCCGCCCTGGACTCTGCAACTCCGAGAAAGTTGCCCGGTGCTGTAGGATTGCACAGTCGTGCTTGTGCATTGCACGGCAACGCGTGGGGCCAGTCCACCCACTTGCACCGTCTCCATCGGATGCATTGACCCTGTAACCCTTTCGTGCTCAAACGCGAGGAGGAGGAGGGGGCGGAGGAGGCAGGGCCGGGAGGACAGGAGGGACCAGGAACTCACAGACCATCAGGAAAGGATCAGCACCCCCCATCCCTGCAAAATGCCCTGGCAGCCAGGGTGGCCGGAGCAGCAGCAGTTTCTTCTGGGGCTCCCCTCCCCACCCGCACTGCTGCCTTCTCCAAGTCCCCCCAGGAGAGGCCCCAGCCTCCGAGAGGGTCTCCCAGCAGAGAGACCATCAAGGGGAAGGTGCGAGCCTGGCACTGGCACCGACGCCACAGGGTCGGGCTGCAGCCGCTCGGTGCAGGCAGGTCCCCAGCGATGCGCCCCGAGACGCGCGCACGGCCCCCCTCGGGCTCCCCATTTCCCAGGCTCGGCTCCGCGGCGCCTCTCCTTCCGCGCGCAGTGGCCCCCACACATCCAGGCAGCCCCCTCCCAAAGCCAGGAGCCCCAAACTTACCCTGGGCCAGAGGCAGCCTCGGAGGGAGCCCCTCATCTCCCCCTAGTCCCCTTCCAGTAATTCAAGGAGACAGTTGCCACAACACTTGGAAGCGTCACATTCAAGCCGAAATCGTCAAAGTATTTACCAGTGTCCAGGCGCCTTTTTGGGAATTTCCAGCACCCAGTAATTCTTGGTTCAGGATTCAAGACGTTTATGCTTTTTTCCTTCTCCTCAAGCAGCCGCAACCCCAGTTTGGCACCCCCTTTCTGTATTCACCCACGGACACTTCCAAAACGCGTGGACTGATGCTTCTTGCCTCCCAGATGCAACCAGGAGCCAGGATCGCCGGGACGCAGAGCCACCTCCACGGAAATCCGACCATAAGGCAAGAAATACAAATGACCAAACCCCGTTACTTCTTTCCGCGGCAATCAGATAATCCCACTAAGCCAATAGATGTATCTCGATTGGAAATTGACCTCAAAAAAGAGATTCCAGGCGCAGATGTCCAGTGGAGAGGTTTCCTAGTCCTGTTAGAGGGTGCCCAAGGAACTGTGGTCTGTCTGTCTGCTTTAAAAAAAAAAGAAAAGAAAAGAAAAAAATCTTTTTTGGATCCTGGGTGCACTGCTCGCAGAAAATGCCGAGGACCCTGGTTTTCCCCTAATATAGGTTTCTATTCCAAATCAGTGCAGGAGGAAAAAATGGTACAAAGGTACCCCTAGTGGCTGGACGCGACAGTGCACGAATCTCACTTTTTTTTCCCTTCATCCTCTTTGCTCACATCCCCCCGCCCTGTGGAGAACTGTCTGTTGTAGTAGTTAACCAAGAAGGTTGGACCTACACTTGAATCGGATATGGCTGCTTCAACAAGCCTTCTGATCTGTCTTTGTTTTACTTTTAAAGCCTGAAATTTCTGGGCTTCTCTTTTCTCCATGTCCTTTTTTTTCTTTTCCTTCAGAATTGTCCCCAGTGGCATTTAGTAGCTAAAATGCCCATTTGAGGGCACACACTTATTTCAAAGCAAATGTTTTGGTTTCCTAAGAAACCGCAGAGATCAAAGGGAGCCTCAGTTTTCCTAAAACAAGCTGCCTTTAGGAAAACCTTTAACACGCTGCTCCACTTAAAGGCGTATATGAAATCTAGGAATATACAAATTATCAGACTTTAGAGAGTCTTTTCGCTTTAGATTTCTGATGTTCATTCAGAAAAATAGACACTGTCTCCTGTCAGCCTGTAGTCAAACGGTGATTCATCAGCCAGGACTCAAGGCTCCGAATACGAAACCTTTGTGAATCAATGACCTCAAGATTAACACTAGTGGTTTTTCACAGGCTTCACCAAAAGAGAGTCAGTTCCGTGAACTTTGGGATTTAGTGGTACTATACAGTAGTTCAAGGAAGCTCTGGCTGTGGCGTAAGTGGGGACTTGAGCTGCTGACCTCAAGGAGAAGGCAAGCCTCGGATAGAGGTCTGAATCTATCAGCAGCTGTAGAGGAGAAAGATGGGCAATCAGCCCGCTTGTCACCCTCCAAGTGGAGGGCCAGTGAGGAGTCACTTCTAACTCAATGGCGATGCAGTTTTGTTTTTTTAAATGCCAGGATTTCTCTAAATTGAATGTATCTACTAACAATCAACATTTTTACATGAGAATTCTAATCCTGTTGTTTGTTGTTGTTATGTGCCTTCAAGTTGCCTGTGACTCATAGCAACCCTCTATATAAGAGCCCTTAACCCTGCTCTGTCCTGTGCCAATCCTATTGTCTCCTACACACCTACCCCCATTACCCCAGTCACTGAATCAATCCATCTCATCGAGGGTCTTACTCTCCTGTGCTGTCCCCTCCACCCTCCACCCTCCCAAGCATGACGTCCCTCTCCAAGGACTGGTCCCGCCTTGCAACATGTCCAAAGGATGTCAGACAGAGCTTCAGAATCGGTGCCTCCAAGGAGCGGCCTGGTCTCACCCTCTCCAGGACGAACCTGTTTGCTCTCCTAGCAGTCCACGGTATATTCAATACTCTTCTCCAGCACCACAGTTCTAAGACATCAATTCTGTCATCCCTAATCATCGTCCAGTAATTCTGCAAGTAATTGCAAAGAATATGGCCTGGATCAGGCACATCATAGTCTCCAGAGTGACATTGTTACTCTTCAGTAATCTGGAGAGGTCTTTGACAGCAGACTTTCCCAATGCAATTTCTCTTTGAATGTCTTGGCTGTTGGTGCCAAGAGTGTTGATTGTGGAGCCAAACAAACCGAAGCTGTCAATAATCCCAATCTCTTCACCACCCATCATCATGCTGCCAATTCGCCCAGCGGTGAGAATCTTTGTTTTCTTGATGTTGAGCTTCAATCCATATAGAAGGCTGCAGTCTTTGACCTTCTGCAGCAAGTACTTCAGGTCCTCCTCAGTTTCAGCGAGCAGGGTTGTGTCATCCAATTCTCTATGTCCAACAGAGGTCTGACGTTCTGCAATTCTAAGAAACCCCCGGAGCACATTTTCTTATAAAAGATCTAAGACCCCCAGGTAGACCATTCATTTTCATGTTAGTGGGTGCAGTAGTTGTAAGGACTATATGATCTCTATTCTTACCCAATGAAGTAAAATTTTTAGTGTAAGAACTGTTGAGTCTAAGGCCTTCCTTCTTATGAAGGTTTTGTTATTAATTGGTTGTGATGTTGAGTAGTCACATTTAATTCACCACTAAATTAAAGGTAAGTCAAAATAAATGAGCAAATATATATATTCCTGGACAATAAAAAATCAGAATTGCAAGCTAATGCATAAAATTAAATTTTAATTAAAATGCCACTATAGCTCTTCCTGGACTTGAAAAGCTAATTCTAAAATATGTTGGAGAGAGCAAAGAGCCAATCAGTCAAGACAGTTTTGCAAACAAAGTGAAGGGAGTTCCCTTACTATCTGGTAAGGCTTTTTAGAAAAGGTTAGTAACTGAGGTAAGATAGTTTGGGCTCAGGAATAAAAATACCCCAAGAAAGCAAAGCACAGAGATCAGCTACACAGGTGTGTGTGTGTGCAGACTTAATAAATAACAGGCATATAATAACAAGAGATACGTCATATACAAATACACTAGCATCCAACTTCACATAACGTTTAAATATGCACGCAGGGAAGCCACAGACTTCACTGAGGGGGTCTGGTGGCACTGCCCATCGTGCCACCCCGCTGACCCACAGGCAGGGACTCTCAGGTAGACAGTTTAAGCTCAGCAGTGGTTCCACAGGAGACCATTGGGAAGCCCCTTCTCATTTTTTATTTACAGTCTAGGAGAGCCTGCGGAAGGTCACAGGAAAGGAGTTGGAATTGACCAGAGGGGAGGTTTAATGGTTTAAAGGCAAGGAGTACATTTTTTAGAACAGAAAGGAGTCTGGGTGAATAAGTAGAGATTTTTTTGTAGTTATGTACTGACAAGAGAGAACCGACCCATAGCTGACCCTCCGGTGGGTTTTCAGAGGCTGTTAATCACATGGGAAGAAACTGCCCATCCTTCTCCCACAGAGCAGCTGGTGACCTCAAGCCATGTGCCTTTTGGGATTGAAGTGCAGCTTCTTGCCACTAGGCCACCCAAGCTTCCTGAAGGTTTAGTAAAATAAACACAAGGTAAAAGATTACATTTAATAATGTTAAAATATTATGTACATTTAATAAAAGTGTTCCTCTTAATCTAAAGGTTGATGGATGATTCCGTGTACCAGGAGCTCCTTGGTAAAACATTGGCTGACTCTTCATATACAGACTCACAGCCTTAGACACTCAACAGAAGATTGAGTCAGAACCCACGAAAAGACAGTGGGTTTGGCTTACATTTCAGACAGAGAGACGATATTTGCAATGCAAATAACCAAAGGCTTGTTAGCAAAATACACAAAGATTCTTACAAGCATATCTAAAAGACAAACAAGTATAATAGAAAAAAATGTTCTAAGGTCACAGTCAATTGTGAGCAGAGGATTGTCAATGACCATTAACTAGCTGAAAAGTGTGTAATCTCCCTAATCAGTAGGGGAAGTGCAAGTTGAAATGATGAAATATCTTGTCTAAGCTATCAAACCAGCAAAACTTTTTAAGTCCAGCAATCCTAAAAAATGATGAGGATGTGGACAAAGTGGAGATCACAATAGTACAAAAACTTGCACGTTAGCCATCGCTGATGATGGTGATGCTGTTCGGTACCTCTGAGTGAACTCTCATTCTGAATGATTCATATGCTCGAGTAGAACTGCCCCACCATGTTTTCTTGACCGAAGATCACCAGATCTTCCTCCTGAAGACTGAGAAGATGAAAATGGCTTTTCTTTGAACTAACAATGCTAAACTAACATGCCACCACTTAGATCCATTCTTTCTACTCCACAGGAAATGCTCACACACAGCTCGAAGACACATGAACAGAAAATGCTCACTCAAAAGAAGGGAAAAAAAGGGAAATAATCTAAAAAGACAGGCAATTCTTGCACTGTGATACAATATCTTTATCGATGTCAGGTGCTGTCGAGTCAGCTCCAAGTTATAACAACCATTTGACGACCGAAGACAACAGCCTGATCCCACCCATCCTCAGACTCCACTGTGCTTATGCCTGTTGGCATCTTGTCAACGCATTTCCTAGAAGGTGTTCCTTTCTCATTTAACCTCAACGTTTCCAAGCATGATGTCCTTTCCCAGGCACTACACCCTTCTGAGAATATGCCCCAAATATGTGAGATTAATTATCTTATCCAAAAACAGTATTACTCAAACTCATTGTAGTGGAGTCAGAGACAATTCACAGGTGACCCTTTGGTGGGCTTTCAAAAGCTGCCCACCACACAGGATGGTACCGCCCATCTCTCTCCATCAGAGAAGCTGGCAAATTGAAAACACCTGGGTTCTGGGTCGACAGTGTGACTTCCTAACCAGAAAAGCCACCAAGTTGTTGTTGTTGTGTACCATCAAGTCAAAACAACCACAGTCTATGCAATAAAAAGAAAAGTAAAGCAACAGAGCGACTTTAAATAGCGTGGCCAATCTGAAAAAATATATAACATGACATAACAATAATAGTAAGTTTCAGAAAAGCGCCTATGGGATGATATTGTTCATATATAAAGCTTAAAAACAGGCAAAAGCATATCTATTATTTATGAATACATACACATGCAACAAACATATATGAACTTGAATGTTAATGATAAACACTAACTTCAGGCTAGAAGTACTTCTATGAAGGATGGAACTTAATGGAATTGGCAAAGAAGCATGGGAAATATAAACTAACTGCATCCTTTATTTCTTAATCTTAGGTGTTGTAGCTGTTGTTAGGGGCAGTCCAGTTACCTGCGACCCATAGGAATCCTAT